GCTGCCACCAAGTGAGCGGCCCACACTGCGAGTGCTGAGGCTCACTCACTGGGTGGGGTCTTTGTGCAGAAAGTGGGGAGAAGACTCTTCCTCCTGCTCCGACTGTTGCCCAACTCAGTAACTGAGTTCCACTCAGTTCTGTGTGTGGCACCACTGCTGATTTTCTCTGTCTGATCTTTCCAAACTGTGGTGGGGGTGTGCCTGAAGGAACCTTCCCTTATCACTCCTGCTGGCTGCTGATCTCCCCAGTCCCGCACATGTGTGCACCAGTCTGTACCACTCCCTTTGCAAAGAAGTTCCTCTGGCAATATTCACTGTGCCCAATAGGGCCAGGACCCAGGGCGCAGCCAGCCTTTGCACCATCCTGGCTGTCACCTCCTCCGCCTCTTCACTCACCTTGCCCACAGCAAGCTGCCAACCTCAGTCAAAGCCTTCAGGAAAATCATGTGTCTCTGTCAGCAAACCTCCAGATCTTTTGAGCTAATTGTTCCTGGTTTTATTCTCTTTTTAGTTGTGTTTAGAATAGTGTGATCCAAACCTCTCCATTCTACCACTTTGTAGGTGGAATCAAGACTTACTTTTTTACTAAGAGCATGTAGAAGGGATAAGCTCCCAAGAACCCTTCTGTGAGTGGGTAAATTTTTCCTAGTTTTTCCTAAGGTAAAAAGGCCTGGTCTTCCATCCTTTAAGCCCAAGTCCTATCTCCACTAAAGCTTGGAGTACCCTCAGTGTGATCTCTCTTCCAGTTGCTAAAGAGTTCCCTTACAAAATAGCTATGCTCTCAAAAATACACTTACCATAATATATTTACTTTTAAGTGTCAGTTTTTAGAGGAGTTTGAGGTTATCTTAGCTTGTTATATTGCTAACTCTCATCAAATGTTGTAGCAAAGAATTTATTATTATTTTTTAAGACTCCTTCAATTTAGAAAATTTCAACTTTAATTAAACAACAAAAACTGACTTTGCAGACATTACATAATTTAACTGTAGTGAATAGGAAAGCATCCCTTCTCCACGTATTAATTTCATTTGATTTACAAAATACATCCTTCATATAGTAATTCATACAATACAGAAATATGAAAAGCAGAATTAATAAGCCTTTCCTTTCTCTTCTCCCAAAAAGAAGTCTGTTAACAGTCTGATATGTATCCTTCCATGTTTCTTATATAAATATATGTAAATATATACTATTAAAACTGTATCAAATAATAAATATTATTCTATAAACATCCTTTTTCCTATTTTTTTTTACAAAGACACTTCATTAACTTACTAGAAAAATAAGAGCTGAATTTAAAAAAACATGGGCCAGAACCGCCATCTTCCAGGAAGATGACCAACACAGAGGGAAAGGGGAGAGGTACCTGTCTGTGGTATGTTCTCTAGACCTTTTAGAAGACATGGAGCTGTTTCTTTGGCCACAAAAACGTAAATCTACAAGAAAGGCGATATTGTGGACATGAAGGGGATGGGTTCAAAATGGAATGCCCACACATTACCATGGCGACACTGGAAGAGTCGCCATGTTACCCAGCATGCAGTGGGCATTGTTGTAAACAAACAAGGGCAAAATTTTTGCCAAGAGAATTAATGTTCATATTGAGTATAATAAGCACATTAACAGCCAAGACAGCTTCCTGGTATATGTGAAAGAAAATGATCAGAAAAAAAAGGAAGCCAAAGAGAAAGGTATTTGGTTCAGCTGAAGCTCTAGACTGCTCCACCAAGAGAAGCAGACTTTGTGAGAACCCATGGAAAAGAGTCTGAGCTGCTGGAACCCACTCCCTATAATTTATGGCACGACAAGTATGAAAAAATAAAGGATCTAAAAAATAAAAAAAAAACCCACGTGATCCAATACTTGATGGCCCAGATACTTGACATTACAGGCTACTTCTCCCCTAGGTCTTCTACAAGAAACAGATGAATCATTACCATGCTTCCTCCTGATAGAATACAACCATTTTTTGTTTTTATTTTATACAGAGAGAGCCCATGTACTCTTTTTTTTTTCCTTTTCTTTTCTTTTTAAGATTTATTTATTTATTTATACAAGCACTGGGTACAGTCAGAAGTGCAGGAGGGTGAGAGAATTCACCAGAGCCAGAGCGGGGAGCAGAGCAGGAAGAAGGACCAAAGTACACTGCTGAGGGGAGCAGCGGGCGGCAGGAGAGGTCTGCGCGCCATGCGGGACCCTCCTCCGGTGGCCGGGGAGCAGCCGGGAATCGAACCGGGGCTGCAGAGGCTGCAGGCAGCTTCGCAACCCAGCGCTCAACCGCTGCGCCACAGGGGAGGCCCACAACCGTTATTTTCAACATAATTTATCCTTTAAGTAAAACATTATAAATTGTGGCAGATTAACCATTTCCCTAAGAATTTTAAAATAAAATCTCTCAAAATAAGTCATTGTAGACTGCCTTGCTCAATAAGACATCCATTTGCCAAACAGCATATCCCTATCAAATCAGCTTTACCAAGGTCTGGAACATGGAGAGAGCTCAGAAATATTGGTTGAATGTAGGGATAAAACAGTAAAATGGAAATCTTGTTTGAAAGAAACTATGTCATTATAATATCTCAGCTATCCCGAATATTTCCTATTTATGCTAATAGTTTGTCAAACTAAAAAATACCCAACAGAGAGTTACACTGCTTAAGAAGTATTCATCTCTTTCTATAAAAAAAAGGAGTGTTTTTTTTTTTTTTAGATTATACAGTGTCTCAAATTTTATGTAAGATATTGCAGGAAACATGATTGCAAAGAAAAGAAGGCAAGCAGGCAAGAAAGTGAGAGAGAGGGAGGGAGGAAACAAACAAAGCAAAAAACCCAGAAAATGAAAAAAAGTTACCCTGTGATGCAGCCAAGTTGTTTTACAATACAAATTTCACTGCAATATAACTTGAGGCAACAATCTTTAATAGCCAAATCATAAATTAGAACTCCACTAATCCCTCATGTTGGCAAGATTTTCTTAAGCCAACACATAGCTTGTATCTTCCCACCATTAAAGTTCTTGGCAAGAGAAGCCTTTTAAAATTAAGAGCAATTTCAAAAGCAATGTCTTTGACCTGAATAGAGATAAAACGCTACACACAGAGACAGCAATACTTCTTCTGTTTCCACCCTCTTACCCCTCCAGAGTACAATAATATAGAAAGCTGAATTTAATAAGAGACACCTGTAAAACTCTGATGAAATATCCTCTGAAATAACATAAGAAAGTGTTCAGCTCCATAAACATCAGCTGAAGAGTGGAGCTGGCTTTCAGAGACAGGGTGGAATTTCCCATCACTTTCTCTCATTTTGAGGACTCTTAGTTGTTCAGAAAGCCTTGCTTCTTAATGATCCATAACTTTAACTGTCATCTAATGCCAATGACTTCCAAATCACTGTTACAAGCCACATCTTACCCCAGAACTCCATGGCTCATATAACTTACGGCCTAGATATTAAAAATTGTCTCAAATTTACTAAGACCAACATACAACTCATGAAATTACTCCCCAAGTGTGCTTCTCTCCTCCATCAGTCTTTTCCATCTCAGGAAACTATTCCACATCCACACAACTGCTTAAGCCAAACCACAGGTGTCATTCTTGATTGTTTGGTCTTTCCCTCCCTACATCTCATCGAGCAACAAGTTCTGTTGGTTCTACTTCCCAAATTTATCCCAAAGGCACACACTCTTCTCCAACTACATTACTAAATATTTTCTCCAAGCCATACTCTCACTTGCTTTGGTCTACCTGCTTACACTGCTGGTCTCTATGACTGATGCATGATACAGCCTCAGGCTGATCTTTTAAATTCAAAAATCATATATTACCACTCTCCAGCTTAAAACCCCTTGCTAGTATACCTCTAATTAAAAAAAAAAAAAAAAAAAAAAAAAAGCTTACCACTAAATTTAGTAAAGTCCAAATCTCTTATCCTTGCTTGAAAGACCTAAAAAAATCTGGCCCCAGCCAACGTTTCTGATTCAACTCACATACTGCCAACTCTAACTCCTGCTGAGATCACAGGGAACCTCTATACACCAGCTGTGTCACCTGCCTAGAATACTCTGACCCCCAAGTCTTTGCAAATTGTTTCTTTATTACAATGTAGGTATCAGATTTTCTTTAAAGTCATCTTCTCAGAAAAGCTTTCCTACTGACAAAATCTAAAATGACCAACCACAAAAGTTAGCAAAACAACACATGCATTTACACTTTGACTTTCAATCCACTCATAGGCATTCCCTTAAATATGAAACAGCCAAGAAGGCTGGTCATGAGTTTAAAAATAAACAACATAATTTAAAAAAAAAAAACCCTGAATTTACAGATACAGAGAACAGACTGGTGGCTGTCAAAGGTGGGAATGGGGAGGGGGTGAAACGGGTAAAGAGGGTGGAAAAGTACAAACATCTAGTTTAAAATAAAGCAGCCCTGGAGATGTACTGCACAGCATGGTGAGTACAGTTAGTGATACTATACTGTATATTTGAAAGTTGCTTGGAGAGTAGAATGTCCCAGTGCCTTGTAAAGGAGTTAGTCCTTCTAGATTTACTTAGGGTAGCAATTATCATCCTAAGAAAAAAAAATTATAACTGTGTGTGTTCATGGACATTTACTAGATTTATTGTGATGATGTTTGAAATTTTCTGTATGTTTGAAATTTTCTATAATAAAAATTTTAAATGTAATCAACTGCTCACGATAGCACTGTTTTATTTCTCAGCATACTAATGTTGCCATATGGCTTTTTAATTATTCATTTTGTGTCTGCTGACTTTTTGCCTATCTTTCACTAAAATATAAGCTTTTTAAAAGCAAAAGCTTAGTCTTTACTATTATTAACCCCAATGCCTAGAATAATGCCAGGTTCTTGATTAATACTAAATGATCAAATAAAATATCTGAGCCCTCCTGTAGAGCTTTAAAAGATTTTAACTCCACCATGGCCAACAAAGCATCATGAGAAATGCATGACTTCAGCCAACAGGGGCTTACCTTTACTTCAATGAAATCAGGATTCCCCAGGGACACCAGCTCAGCATAGGCCTGGAGTTCATTCACATTCCACGCTTTCACGAGAGTCAGTCTGTAGACAGTACGCTGTTGCTAAAACAAAGAAAAAGCCAACTTTTTTTTATCTTGGCAGAATTCACATATTAACCTAGAAAGAGTACCTCCAATTTCTTCAACCCATACATAACCCAGATAAGGTGAAATCCAACATGAACTTTTATAAAGTGAAGTTACATTTTGTAAAATGAAAAAAAAATTAAACAATAAGATCCCCATAAAATTATGAAGGTAGAGATATCAGCTTATTTCTTGTCTCTTCCTTACAATATTTAATACTCCATTAAGTACCCAAAGGTTTCTTGACAAATACACACTGAATTAGATTTAGTAAGGAATAGTAAATTTACCAAATAGTTTTAGACTATGGAAAACCAAACCAAATAACTTCAGACTTTCAGGTACCAATCACTCAAGTTGTTTATGATAAGAATTTTTTTTTTAAGATTTATTTATTTTATACAAGCACTGGATATAGTCAGAAGCACCAGAGGGTGAGAGAATTCACCAGAGCCAGAGCGGGAAGCAGAACAGGTAGAAGGACCAAAGTACACTGCTGAGGGGAGCAGCGGGCGGCAGGAGAGGTCTACATGCCATGTGGGACCCTCCTCTGGTGGCTGGGAGCAGCCGGGGATTGAACCGGCGCCACAGAGGCCGCGGGCAGCCTCGCAACCCAGCACTCAACCGCTGCGCCAACGGGGTGGTCCAAGAATTTCTAATTATTCTTGTCCTCTTTCCTGCTTTCTTGTTACTTAATGATCTCTGTTGGCAGAAAAGACACATTTATGAACTACCAGCTGTTTGCCATATATAGTAGCCCCCCTTTATTTGCAGGGGATACATTTCCAGGTTGCCCAGTGGATGCCTATAGCTGCAGATAGTGCCAAACCCTATACATACAATTGTTTTTTCCTATACATATATATCTATGACAAAATTTAGTCTCTCAACTAGGCTCAGTAAGAGATTAACAATAACTAATAATAAAATAGAATATTTATAAAAATATGCTGTAAAGATGTTACAAAATATCTCGTACATATTTTTGGACCATGGTTGACCATGGGTACTTGGAACCGAACAAAGTGAAACTGCAGATAAGGAGGGCTACTGTTTACTAAAAAAGGTATTTGATTTCTGAAAAGCAATTAGATAACAATGATGGAAGCCTTTAAAAAAGGCTTACACTCGGGCCAGGCCTCCCCAGTGGCGCAGCGGTTGAGCTCTGGGTTGTGAAGCTGCCCGCAGCCTCTGCAGCGCTGGTTCGAGTCCTGGCTGCTCCCCGGCCACCAGAGGAGGGCCCCACATGGTGCACAGACCTCTCCTGCTGCCTGCTGCTCCCCTCAGCAGTGTACTTCGGTCCTTCTGCCTGCTCTGCTCCCTGCTCTGGCTTTGGTGAATTCTCTCACCCTCCCGCGCATTTGACTGTGCCCAGTGCTTGTATGTATGTATGGATGGATGGATAAACAAACAAACAAACAAACAAACAAACAAATAAATAAATAAATCTTACACTCTTTGACTTTGTAGCTCCCTTCTAGGACCCAAAACAAATGATCACAGACCAAATCATTAAACATCTCAGAACAACATCATTAATGATAGTTTAAAATTTAAATTAAGCTCCTCTCTACAGAAATGCAAACCAAAGTTAAAGAGGAACAAAATTAAAGGACTTCAAATTACTAGATACCATGACTTAATAGAGCTCTAACAATTAAGACAGAGATGTTGATGAATAGAGCAGTGGAACAAAATAGAGAATCTAAAGGCTCTTGGATGAATACTTGATTTGTGACAAAATTGGCACTGTAGAAGATTATGGAATAGGATGTTATTTTAAATTAACAATACTGGATCAAATGGATACTTATCAGATGGGATGAACCCCCACTTAAAAACATTCTTTAATGGATTATAGACTTCAATGTGAAATGAAAATAACAAAATGTCCAGAAAACAGGGAAAAATATCTTACAACATTAGTAGTCAAAATTGTGATTATTTGTAGACAGAAGAGGGGTTCAGGGTAATGAGGGAAGGACAGCAATGTATGTGGAGAGTCTGAGGATGCTCTTAACATTCCATTTCTTGAATAGGTACAGTAGTATGTTCATTTTGTAGTCATTCACCAAACTGTTCATTTAAGCTCTGTACTTTTCTGTGTATATGATATTTTCTAATAATAAGTCCTATTAAAGAAAAGATATACACAAAGTACTGGGAGGAGCCATTTAGGATTTTTAAAGTTTTCTTTTATTTATAAGTATTAATGGATAAAACATTATTTATTTAAACATTATTTATTTGAATTAAAATACTCCAATGCATCCATCACCGCTAGAAAAGTGGGGAGATACAGAAAAAAGAAATGCAGATAGTTGTCAAAGCTCATGGTTACAAAGGAATTCCTTTTATTTTTCTCTCTTCTCTTGGATTTTGAAGAAATCCACAATAAAAGGTTAAAAAATAAGTACTTGTAAGTTAGAATTTTGCTGCTTCTAATTAGGCAGCTTACATTGCTACACATTCTGGATGAGGTTATTACATCCCAAGACTACAACTCTTAATTTTAATGATTTATCTTGACAGTTACAATTCAAGATGAATTCAAGTTGAGGCTGTGTCAAAACAAGATAAAATGTCTCTTAAAATATGGTACTGAGTTACTATTAATCAAAGAAATGCAAATTGAAGCAATAATGAGGTACCATTTTGGCTTATCAAACTGGTAAAGATTTTTAAAAATAGCATAGTCAGTGCTGCCTATAGTTTAGCACGACAGGCATGTTCATTCACTAATGGTGGAAGCATAATGCAGTACAAACATCTTGGAAATTAACATGGAATATAATTAAACAATCTGAAAAATATTCAAATCTGTTGACCAAATAATTGCAGGTGAAAAATCTGAGCCTTTGAAAATCATAAAAATTGTAGACAAATACTGATGAATAAGAATGTTCATTTCAACTTTATTCATAATAATGAGATACAATAAACTCAAGAAGTTCAATCGCATGAAGCAGTTAGATGACTTATGAGACTTATTTACCTCATACTAAAGATGATATTTCAGAACAGTGGTTATGGATCCCAACATAACAAAGGAACATATTCCTAAATAATATTCTGCAGACATGATTCTCAGCAAGGGGGAGGAGAAGGAAACAGACTTGTGTTTTTCATAACTTTGCTCCCAGTGAGAATAACTATTTTAGAAGAATGTTTAAGGATGAGGGGTAATTTTCATGTAACAATACTGAGTTTTAAAAAAGCAAAAGACAAAATTATAAATGTATCGTGGTATTAATGATGTAAATATACATGTACAGAAAAAAATAAGACTTGGGAGGAAACATCACAAAAGTTGTGGGATCAGAAAACACGTACACACACATTTATAATAGTACTCAATCTTGAGACTAGGTCAGCTTAACAGTCTCGCAATATAACTGTTCGCAACTATGCATCGTAACAACTACCCTAGACAAAATCCTCCTGCACAAAATCCAAAAACTTTGGTAAAGGAAGTATGAAAAGATTTGCCTTAGGTTCAGAAGACCATGCATATCAACTGGAATATGAGAGTGTATGGCTGGAATTTAAAAAGCCATACACCTCTATAACTTAGAATAGCAAAATGAAAAGAAGGGGCTCAATAGCCGGCAAGGTAGTTAATATGCAGGAAGATGTTGCCTGTGTGAAAGAAGAGAAAGACGGTAAAACCATATATACAAAAATCATACACACATACATCTTTATGGACATATTATACACAATATATATATATAACCAAGCACATATTATAATGCATACAGTTAAAGTAGCATCAAAGAGGTACTACACAATTCATTTTCTTGAGAGCCATAAGAATCTGAGAAGTAAAATGCAAAAGAATTTGCTGAGAAGTAAAAATGCAAAAGAGACTAGGTTATCTAGTTGAATGAAATAAGGAGATTTATAAGAGAATACTTAATAAAACAAATTCTCACGAGAAATGAGTAATATGGAGCAGTGTTTCTCCATCATTTGGAAGCTGGGAGAAACAGGAAGGTGTTTCTATTGGCATTTTGAACAGGACAGTTTTCACTCTGTGGTAATAACCTGTGCCCAAGAACCAGGAAGATGTAAATTTCCAATATGGACATGCTGAGAAAGTGAAAGAAATAATTTTCTACAAGATGACTAATAAGGATGACAGAATGTAAAGAGCTAATGATAAAAATAAATGAAAGAGAACAGATAATAAGATTTCCAAAGGAAGAAAAACACAACTGTAGAATCATAGGACCACTCTCTATTTTCCAATGAGAGAAGATTTATACTTAGACCCTTCTAAAGTCACCACCGGGCCTCCCCTGGTGGCGCAGCAGTTGAGTGCTGGCCTGCGAAGCTGCCAGCAGCCTCTGCAGTGCTGGTTAGATCCCTGGCTGCCGGCGAGGGTCCCAAATGGCACACAGACCTTTCCTGCTGCGCCCACTGCTCCCCTCAGCAGTGTGTTTCGTAGGTCTGTCTGTTCTGTTCCCGGCTCTGGCTCTGGTGAATTCTCTCACCCTCCTGCACTTCTGACTGTACCCAGTGCTTGTATAAACAAATAAATAAATCTTTAAAAAAAAAAAAATGTCACCACCACCACAAGATAAAGGAGTGGTGAAACCTACCTATTAATAGTAAATAGAGAAACAATACCAAAAAAAAAATCAATAAGCAGACAATTATGTTACAGCCCACACCAACCAGGGTGAATAAACAGGCTCCAATCACCAAACCAATATTTAGAGCTGGATGTCCCTAGGTACTGACAAAAAAGTAAAATCTCCAGCAATGTTCCTTCAAAGTCTACCCACCACTCTGTAGCAGACACAAATAAACATCTGGGTCCAAAATTTGTAGAAGTTATGAGAAAAATACCTCACAATAGCAAAAACACAGCTCACAAAATATTGAATCAAAGCAAATCTGAAAGGAGTATGGGGTGACCAGAATCAATAAATTCTATAGATCTATATTTCTCCAAAAACTGTATTTGCAAC